TATTTCATATTCAGTGGATTTATTTTTCCGTTAATCGCGACTACTTATTATATACATTGTATAGAAAAAAGGAGTAACAACCTAATACGTCCCTCCGTTGACCACAGGTTTGATCAGCGTGGGACGTTGCTTCATAGCTCTTTCATTTCTGCAAAATAATGAGCAATTTATCTGCCTCGCTGCTCCAGTCCATCTGTATTTTATTTAAGATGAATAAGAAGATATTATACTTGATGCACGAAAAAGTTTAATTTTTATACTTGAAATAAAATAAAATAAATTTAATTTACAAATAACATCTAAAATAGAAGAGACACTGAATATGTATGGGTTAGAGAAACGCCTTATATTACAGCTAGTTTAGCTGTTTCGTACTCTAAATCTGTTGCTTCTGTTAACCATTTCAAGAAAAAGCTTAAACTTTACTTGAATGAGTTTAAAAGTGCAGTGCTTGCAAAATTCCACTCGCTATTTGTAATAATCCTCTCGTGTGCTTTAAACTTATAAGCCAACTGTTTAAAAATATTCCAAAACTTTTCTTCAGTGGACAGCTTTCGAAAGTGTTCAGAAGTTATCATCCATCATTTGAAGCATGAACGTCCACGGCTGAACATAGAGCCTCCCCATAGATTGTCAAAATATTTTTCCATATTTCCCACGCTTATCAGATGGGCAGGCTAACGCTAGCACTATATGTTTAAAGATTTTATTGTTTACGTGTTACGTGGTAGAGCCATGCTGCAGCTATATTGTGATTGTGATTGTGAACGGGTCGGCTCGACCGGGGTTGGACCACGCTCTCACAGAATACCATAAAATAGCAGCTTAATGGTGCTGTGTTTCGTATGGTGAGTGTAGAGAACTGGAGACCCTATTTATTGGAACTGATGGTCCTATGGACTGGAAAAGATGGAATGCCATCTTAGTCCTCACGGGTGACAAAGCTTCTGCATTTTGATTCTTAATCGAGGATAGATGTGGATGTTCATTGGCCACAGCTACCACTTATCAGCAGGTGGACTGTGTGTTCGTTTGTCACACTTATACTATAAAAAAAATTTAATTTTTATTAGGACGTTTATGCCCACCTTTTGTTTTATTCCCTCTGTTGACATCCACGAAACTGAATATTGTTACACCACTGCTACATGGTTTGTTCAGAATTATTCTTCTTTGTCAATCCGTAAAGTCTACATGAAATAGCAATCGTAGCACGGGTTGCCCTACTGCGGTCTTCATCTTGAGGACTAAATGTTTATGGTAAGCGAGATTGTTATACATTATTGAATTTTTCATGGCCTTTTACGAACAAAAGGAAATGGGGTAATGAATTCTCTTACACCACCACCACACGTCATCTTCGTTTAAAACAGCTATGAGTAAGGGTGACCTTAGTTATTTATACCTCCAACCAAAGTCCGGACAGCTCCTCTGTATGGTACAGAGCCAGTACCTACAATTCCAGTATGTGCGGAATTTCGTCTCCGTCCTCAGAGGTGATAACGCATCTGTAGCTTCCTTTGTATGAAATTGATCACAGATAATGTCTCGTGGTGTTACAATCACATTCTAAAATTGAGCAGCGTGTATTTGGGCATAAAACACCGAAACCTTAGAAAATATTTTTGAAAACAATTTGTAGAACACAATGCCATGAACTATTACGGTGAAAGGATGTGAATGCTTCTATAACCAAGATTTTCTAAATTATGTTTTTGTGAAGAGGGGCAATAAAAAACCAAATTTTTTTAAAACCAAACTGAAATTGCAGTTATTACGAGTAGAAACATTCAACGATAGAAATTGTATATAAACTTTAATTTTAATTAGATAATGCGTTTTTCTATTAGATCCTAGTATTAACCATCATGATAAATTTCCTTATCCGCTCAACAGTCAAAACACACATTCCGGCTATGTGTCAAATATCTATTGTCAGTAAATAGTCATCTATTGCGGTGATTCAATTCCCGTCATTTTCCGCTTTTTTTTTAAATACTTTAATTTGTATTTTACTTTGCTTAAAGGATAATATATATATATATATATACATATATTTCCTTAAAGGATAGTTAAAGAAAAACAGTCATCTCACTATAGATCACATGCACCATTATTGGCAAGCTCGAGTAGTTAAAGCGACCTATGTCGCCCCCGTGCCCATTGGTGCAATACAACAATAACTTGTATTACAAGCCATGCCAATTGTCACACAACATATTTATTGGTTAGAACGTTGTAAAACATTGCGTTTCAATTTGCGATTAATTTGTTCCAATGATCGAATATAGGTGGTAGAGCCACGCTACAGTAACATTATGATTGTAGCAAGAATGGGTCGGCTTTACTAGGATAGAACTACTCTCTCACGGAATACAAGTTTTTACTGGAAAAAAGGCATTCCGTCTTAGTCCTCAGGGGTGACAACACATCTGCATTTTGAATCATATAATATTATGTCTTTGGGCCACAGCATCTACTTATCATCAGATGGACTGTGTGCTCGTTTGTCAACTTTATTCTATAAAAAAATCTGATTGTGTTATGAAATATGAAGCGCTCTGATACTGAGCTAACTGCTGTTATTGAGCAATTTTACACTAATTAAATGGTCACAAAAAATTATCGCATGTTTTTAAAAACATTAAAAATAAAAAATATCGTTCATGTATTCTTAATTAACGTAAATAACTGTTTAATTTTTCCTCTTTTTTGTTTTATTTTTGTCAAATAAATAAATCCTTAGTTACTTTCTAAAAGGTTTTATTTGAAAATTGTAACTTTATTTTCTCAATGTGCTTCATTTCGAATCTCCTAATAAATTAAACCTACTAATACAAAAGCAATCGATTTTAAACTTCGAACAAAAGCTGTAACCGTTCTGTAGCCAGATGGAATTTGGATGAATGAACAGGATAGTATTCTATATATAATTCAAAGGCGGACAATTTGCTAAATTATACTTCAAACACTTCACCCATATCGGGCCTAATATACGATATCGCTTAACCCTTCTCAGGAAATGTCGAGTAACTACTAAATGAAATTTGAGTTGGATTTTCACTGCTTAAATTTCAGTACGATTAATACAGGATCATTACTTACGTTCTACAAAATTTAATTTTACGTTCAGAGCGCTAAAAGTTTTATGATTTTAACAGTTTCCCTGTCAGCGAAAAAACACAAGAGTTAAACGATCGAAATGTTCATATTTATATGAGTGTGACTTACGGGACAGTGAAATGGTCAAGTTGCACTCGGGTTCATCCACGTTTCATGTTCCAGAAGGTAATAGAGACAGAGCCGGTATAATTACAGGTTAAGGTAATAACAGTTAAGGCATTCCATCTTAGTCTACATAACCGCCTGATTGGCCTTGGGTAATCTCAGTACACAAGCGAATTTATGGGTCGATTTCCAAGCACTGAATTCTTATTAGAAATGTGTTTCTCATTCTATCGTAAGCTTGTTGTTCAAATTTAAAATATATATTTGTTTCAATCACACTAAACATATCCGCCCACTAAAGTGCCAAAATTGTACACCACCATGATTACAAGGCGTCTGTAGCCTTCTTCATTTGAAGTTAGTTGCAGGTATCCAGGTGCTGCAGTAGCCACTTCACTAGCCACCGTAATGTCAGTAGATTGCTGCTCCCAATCGTATCCTATATTTAATAAAATTAGATCCCAACCCAAGCATACAAGTGCAAGACTTCAACATATTATAAGTTCATACTGCGTCGTTCGAAACAAAAATTAATATTTTTAATCTGTGGTAACTGCGGTTATCTGTGACATCTGGACGTTGAACATCTCAGTCCGCCCCCGTGACCGACCCCGGTCTCCAATTTTGTGCCTCAAAGTCGCACTTAAGCACTTTCTTATTCCCAGAAAGATATACAGAGGCTACCGTGATCGATTGATCACCGGTCATGGCCACTCTGCCAACCGCAGCCTCTAGATCTTTCAACTGAGGCGTTCAATGGGCAAGACGTGTAGGGATGACATAATATATAATTATATCATTTAAAATGATGGTTACATGGGCATTAACTTAAAATGTGATTTAAAAAAAATATAATAAGAAAATATTTTAGAGTATATTCCTATTTTGGAGTATACTTTCTAAAGTAGATTTTTTTTTAGATTTGAAGTCACTTAATAGAGAATTTGCTATTCGCTACGCATCTCCTTTTACGCTTAAGGCATTCGTAAGGCAGTCGGGGGAAATGAAGCAGGCCAGCTTATCTTTACAAACGGCGTGTCCAATCAAGATTGTATTTAAATTACGATCAATATTAACGTACCCAATATATTTTTCTATTAAGGGAATGAATAAAAACGAGGACTACAATATAATACCATCAGCAACTCGGATTCGATCTCTGCCGGCGTCCATCCAATTGATATTTGCAATTTTAAGCGCTGATTTGCTCCTTGCTCTGCGGTGAAGGATATTTCGGAGATTTTTAAGTTCTGATTCAGCAGAGCTATTTTTAGGGATTTTTGATTTAATCGTGATAAAAAAAAACTCAGACCCGTTGATGAAGAGCAACGTCATAAGAACGATTTGTTTTAATAATAATTTATTATGTTTACGCGAACACAAAGTACATATTTAAATAAAATTAGATTTTACGGATTTCATCGCGTACCTATATTAACTTATTTTATATTTTACTATAAAATAAGTACTTAAGTAAGTATGTAAGTAAGGTTCAGATCATTCAGTTACTTATTTAGTAACTGAATGATCTGAACGAACTACCCAGAATTATTCTGGGTGATGCAATGTACTCAAAACTTCGATAATATATATTAGTTAATAAATTCAGTAAAAAGTAATCTAGTTTTAGTTAAATGTGCAGTGTTCGCGTAAATGTAACAAATCATTAAGTTCAATAGTTAAGTTTAAATTTCAACGCAAATAGCTACATCATCCGTGTGGTTTTGTTCAAATATTTGACATATTTTAACGAGCTTAACAAAGTAACTTACCAAAAACAATCATTTGCTTCGTTCTTGAATCCTCTTCCATGAATGTTGAAACGACACACGTGTAATCACTAGAGATGTCGGTGTTGGACTTCACTATGCGGAGTGCTCTGTGCATTTTTAATGTATCGCTTGATGCTCTGTAGGCTAAGTCAACACGACCTCTCAATATCCCCATTTCCTGTGGCTTTTGCGACACGATCCATTGGTAGACAGGTCTGGCTTTGTTTCTGAAAAACCACTTCACTACCAGTCCCGATGTGTTGTTACCCTAAGCATAGTCACAGTCTAGAATCACAGCGTCCTGCACACCGTACTGTATTATTTCTGGCACTACTATTTTCACTATTTTAACCGCATTCAATTCTGAAACAAAGAAATAAAATTGAAAATATTTTCGCACTAATATGATAAGTAAAAATGTCCTCCAGACCAAATTTCGGCCACGGCAGCCTGCCGCGAAGAAGGCTAGCCATCGGCGCAGGACAGGATTATAGTGCCCAAGTGTATGCGCAAGCACAGGTGCACTCTCTATTCTCTCACTCTCATTGTACGATGAAATGGTAAACAAACACGACCGGCGAGAGATCAGGCGCAGGACCAACGGCTTTAGGTGCTTTCCGAGGCACGAGGGTGAGACACCGTCAACTTCCTGACTCCGGGCAACTACTGAGAGTTTCCTGACGGACAAAACTCAATAATTAGTTTTTTTGGCTCGACGTGGGATTCGAACCCAATACCTCATGATCAGCAGTCGCACTACTACAACCACTAGACCAACGACGCAGTCAATAATATGATAATTATTGACTTATATATGATAAGTAATAAAAATACGTTCGACTTGATTTTGTGGTTTCAAACAAAATACTTTCGATCTGTGAAGATTCAAAATATTTTAGTTGATTTACATATAATAAGTTATTGAAGTTACTCTATTTTTTTTTTAAATCTAATCTTTACAGTAAATTGTTTTTATGGAATCGAAGTAACAAACAAACTTACAGTCCACCTGAGGATAAGTTACTAATGCAGCCCAGCTAGATCGGAGGTCTCCAAAAGTTGAAGCCACAATGATTTTTTTGTGGAATCGAAGTAACAAACAAACTTACAGTCCTCCTGAGGATAAGTTACTAATGCAGCCCAGCTAGATCGGAGGTCTCCAAAAGTTGAAGCCACAATGATTTTTTTGTGGAATCGAAGTAACAAACAAACTTACAGTCCTCCTGAGGATAAGTTACTAATGCAGCCCAACTAGATCGGAGGTCTCCAAAAGTTGAAGCCACAATGATTTTTTTGTGGAATCGAAGTAACAAACAAACTTACAGTCCACCTGAGGATAAGTTACTAATGCAGCACAGCTAGATCGGAGGTCTCCAAAAGTTGAAGCCACAATGATTTTTTTATGGAATCGAAGTAACAAACAAACTTACAGTCCACCTGAGGATAAGTTACTAATGCAGCCCAGCTAGATCGGAGGTCTCCAAAAGTTGAAGCCACAATGATTTTTTTTATGGAATCGAAGTAACAAACAAACTTACAGTCCACCTGAGGATAAGTTACTAATGCAGCCCAGCTAGATCAGAGGTCTCCAAAAGTTGAAGCCACAATGATTTTTTTGTGGAATCGAAGAAACAAACAAACTTACAGTCCACCTGAGGATAAGTTACTAATGCAGCCCAGCTAGATCGGAGGTCTCCAAAAGTTGAAGCCACAATGATTTTTTTTGTGGAATCGAAGAAACAAACAAACTTACAGTCCACCTGAGGATAAGTTACTAATGCAGCCCAGCTAGATCGGAGGTCTCCAAAAGTTGAAGCCACAATGATTTTTTTGTGGAATCGAAGTAACAAACAAACTTACAGTCCACCTGAGGATAAGTTACTAATGCAGCCCAGCTAGATCGGAGGTCTCCAAAAGTTGAAGCCACAATGATTTTTTTATGGAATCGAAGTAACAAACAAACTTACAGTCCACCTGAGGATAAGTTACTAATGCAGCCCAGCTAGATCGGAGGTCTCCAAAAGTTGAAGCCACAATGATTTTTTTGTGGAATCGAAGTAACAAACAAACTTACAGTCCACCTGAGGATAAGTTACTAATGCAGCCCAGCTAGATCGGAGGTCTCCAAAAGTTGAAGCCACAATGATTTTTTTATGGAATCGAAGTAACAAACAAACTTACAGTCCACCTGAGGATAAGTTACTAATGCAGCCCAGCTAGATCGGAGGTCTCCAAAAGTTGAAGCCACAATGATTTTTTTATGGAATCGAAGTAACAAACAAACTTACAGTCCACCTGAGGATAAGTTACTAATGCAGCCCAGCTAGATCGGAGGTCTCCAAAAGTTGAAGCCACAATGATTTTTTTGTGGAATCGAAGTAACAAACAAACTTACAGTCCACCTGAGGATAAGTTACTAATGCAGCCCAGCTAGATCGGAGGTCTCCAAAAGTTGAAGCCACAATGATTTTTTTGTGGAATCGAAGTAACAAACAAACTTACAGTCCACCTGAGGATAAGTTACTAATGCAGCCCAGCTAGATCGGAGGTCTCCAAAAGTTGAAGCCATAATGATTTTTTTCAGTACGTTCTAAGGGCCTAAAGAGTTTTAATTTTTCTGCTCTGAACTATTATTTCTAGACTAGTCGCAAAGTGCGCGAGCTAAGCAAACATACGCTTTTTTGCATTTTAATTACTAATGTGATCCTATGGGGCACGGTGATCATCCCGGAGAGCGGCTAACGCTCCATTTTCTAGTACAGAACTATTCTAAATACATATACCGCCATATTTTGAATTATTAATAGCGTGGTTTAGGCTTTAGTGTGTTTCGCTAATGGCGCAATAACAGCTTCGCCACAAATGAAAGAGAGAAAAAATTAGGTCTTAAATCATGTCCTTATTATTCATTATTGATGTCAGTCTACTTTAATTAGTCTGTTTAGTATCAATCATTCAGAATTTCCCTTTTAAAGAAAAAAATAAAACTAAACTAGTTAAAATGTAATGAATATGTGTATATATGTATGTATATATATATATATATATATATATATATATATATATATATATATATATATATATATATATATATATTTTAATGCATGTTTTAATGTAATTATTTACGTATAATGGTCGCACCTGCCAACAATTGTCCTTGGCACTCAGGGTTGACTGGCAGAGAATGCCACATGGCATTAAGTCCGCCCTATGTACCCCTTTAGCTTAAGGTATTACGTTTAAGTTTTTAAATAAATAAATAAATAAATATATGTTACACGGACATATGTTTACACGAATTCACTATAAACGTTAAAATTATATTAAAATTTGGACTTTCGATAACATACTCGTATAGGTGCACTTTAACAAGAACTTCCAAAACTCTGAGAGAAGATAAATCCTATACAGGCGCAAACGCGTGTACTGAATCGAAATTATTTTAAATGAAATTGTTATTATAAGGGTCATAAGGCAAGTTATCATGAGAATATTATAGCAGTCATCACAAGTACACTACTGAACATGGGAATCCATCAATTTATGACCCTAAGTACGGTCTAAGTAATAAGCCACCTGCATCCATTAACCCATCGGTCGCCTTTACACTAACTGAGCTCGCTAGCTTTGACAGTGATCCATGTTCAGTAGAGGACTGCCGCAGCCTGATGATGATAATGAATTACTGCACTTGAAAGTGTATTAGATAAATTGCCGTTTTAATTTGATTGAAATATGGAGAACGAAGTTTATTTTACTCGTATCCAATCATTAATTGATAGTAAAACAATGTTTAAGCCTGGGCAACTGCCTGAACAATGCACGTTGTAATAGCTACGTCATTCGAATATCTAGCCGTTTAATAAAACGATAACTGCTTAGGACTCAATTCCAAACGGTTAACCACGCTAAACGTTACTGCAAATAGTTTTAGTTCGATAACTTTGTACGAACTAGTTTTGCAATTTGATCACTCCCATACCAAGAATAGTTGGCAGGGTTCATTTTAGTAAAATTTTATGTAACTGTAATTTATGTAGATTCATTAAGGAGGTAATGTTAATTGATAAATATGCAGTGTAGGCGAAAAATGTGTACTATTTACAAATAAAGCGACTATTGCCTTAAACCTTTGCAGTTATCATTTAATGATCAAGATTCTGTGAGACATTTCATCTTTGTTCTGAGGGCGGCAGCGCAACTGCGGCATTCTTTATTTGACATAAGCTTCAGGTGTCTACGGCCTGCAGTAACAACTTATAACCAAGTAAACTATTTTTAGCCCGTTTCAACCGAATATTATCAACTTTTTTGCACACACGGTAGAAATATTTACAGTAGCCATGGTATACAAGACCAATGAGATATTTTCGGAATTTAAAATATTTAGACTACGTGAACGGTGAAGGTGAGAAGATCATCGGAAAGTTAGTATAAAATAAATTGATTAATTTGTACTGAAAAGACAAACTTGGAAAGAATTACTAGCTTCTTTAATATTTATATTATAAAACACGGTAAAATATATAAAATATAAATTTTCCCTTAGTAGTTTATATTACTGTAAACTATAAAATAATTTCATAACTTAATCGTCATCATCATCTTTACAGCCCTTTACAAGTACACTGCTGAACATAGGCCTCCCCCATAGTATGCCACAAAGGACGGTCCTGAGCCACCTGCATCCATGGACTTCCCGCGTGTCTTACCAGGTCGTCACTCCATCTAGTGATCCTAGCTCCCAATCGAGAACCTTTTTTTCCCCAACGGTTGTCGGTTCTTCGAGCTATATGGCCTGCCCATTGCCACTTCAGCTTACTAATCCGTTGGGCTATGTCGGTCGCTCTGGTTTTACTACGGATATCTTCATTTCTAACTTTTTCACTGGGTAAGTCCAACTTCGAGCGAGAGGTCAATTGACGTATTCAACTCCGCTGGGCAGCGTTTGGGAAATTTTCATAACTTACGAGAATAAAAATCCTAAGTGACTCACCGGGATGGTGACAAGCTCGACAGATATCGACGGTGCCATCCTTTAGGATGTATCTCCGATAGTTGTTGGTCTTAATAACCTGATCCTATATTGCACAGACAAAACCCTCGGTTTCCCCGAAGAGATTACCAAAGCGTAGCCAGTGGAGGGAGGCAACTGTGTCTACGAAAGTCTCATGA